AAAAACGTTTCCACCTCACACTTGGTTTTCTAGTTTGGCAAAAACTTTACAATCAACACTCTTGCAATCACACTCTGTTTTCGTCGAAAGTTGCCTTAGTCATTGATTTCATTAAACTTCAAACGTTACAAATGAATTCAAACAACAAAAGAATAAAAGATTACAACTTTCTTGAAAATAACACAAGATCCGTTCTTGGTCTCTTGCTTGCGTGGGTCTTTAGCCTATGATGGGGATGTTGATATCCGTGGACTACCTGGCAATCAGATCTGATCCAGAGCTTCGTCGATCTGCGATGAGATCTAGAAACAGAAGCGCCTATCTCGATAAAAGCGAGATAATTGCTCTTCTTAAAATCACCACAACGGGATAATACTAAGGATTGGATGCGGGTGATGTAGATCTGACAAAGAACTCTCTTGTATTGAAGTGCTCGATCACTCTTCAGTCCGGCAGGGCTTCGCCAAATCTCCAAAATTCCAGCTCTCGAAAAATGAGGCCTAAGGCTTGTATTTATAGGCTTGAGGGGTTGCGGAGCGGTTAAAACAATCTTAAGGCCCAAATCTGCCTTGGAGACATCCCAGGGTGTCTCCACTTGATCCGAGACACCCTAGGGTGTCTCGGTTTGGGCCGAGACACCGGTTAGATCATCTGTTGAATGAATGAGACACGAAGGGCATTGTTCCTTTTGTAAACATCGCGGGGCTCCTGATTAGCCCGTACCTTCGTTAGTTCACGTAGTTCGTCGATTCACTTCAATCGTTCATCGACATCACTCGAACTCCTGTGAACCGGATAGTGACGTTTATCGTCGTTCCTTAACACTGAGCTGTTCGTGGAGACCTATAGGCAATTTTTGATGCCTACAGATACCCCCTCCAAAGCGTTCCGGACTCGTTTCTTTTATAGAAGAGGCTGGAATACTTTGGATGTGATTGGTCCAGCCTTCAGTCGGCGTAAAGGACCTGTAGTTAGCTTCAACTCTTGGCTCCTTCGATTTTTGGTCTATTCAATGCTTTGACGAATAGCCGAAGTTCTTCCGGTGCTGCGTTTATCGCCTGGCCGTCGTCGGAATTTCGAGTCTACTACCAGTGAGTTGAGTTTGGCTCGTGTCATTGACTTTGAATTGACTATCTCTGTCATATTGTGCTAACTTAGGGTTTCAGATCACCGTATGTTGATTTTTGGTCGCAACGCGTTGACTGGCGTTGACCTAGGGTTACGCGTTGACCGGCGTTGACCCTAGGGTTTCGAATGTCGGACGTTGACTTTTTGGTCACAACGCGTTGACTAGCGTTGACCTAGGGTTACACGTTGACTGACGTTGACCCTAGGGTTTCGAACATCGAATGTTGACTTTTTGTCGCAACGAGTTGACTGGCGTTGACCTAGGGTTATGCGTTGACCGGCGTTGACCCTAGGGTTTCGAACATCGAATGTTGACTTTTTGGTCGCAACGCGTTGACTGGCGTTGACCTAGGGTTACGCGTTGACCGGCATTGACCCTAGGGTTTCGAACATCGAATGTTGACTTTTTGGTCGCAACGCGTTGACCTAGGGTTATGCGTTGACCGGCATTGACCCTATGGTTTCGAACATCGAATGTTGACTTTTTGGTCGCAACGCGTTGACTGGTGTTGACCTAGGGTTATGCGTTGACCGGTGTTGACCCTAGGGTTTCGAACATCGAATGTTGACTTTTTGGTCGCAACGCATTGACTGGCGTTGACCTAGGGTTATGCGTTGACCGGCGTTGACCCTAGGGTTTCGAACATCGAATAATTGACTTTTGATTGCAACGCGTTGACTGGCGTTGACCTAGGGTTACGCGTTGACCGACGTTGACCCTAGGGTTGACTTTTTGGTCGCAACGCGTTGACTGACGTTGACCTAGGGTTATGCGTTGACCGGCGTTGACCCTAAGGTTTCGAACATCGAATGTTGACTTTTTGGTCACAACGCGTTGACTGGCATTGACCTAGGGTTACGCGTTGACCGGCGTTGACCCTAGGGTTTCGAACATCGAATGTTGACTTTTTGGTCGCAACGCATTGACTGGCGTTGACCTAGGGTTACGCGTTGACCGGTGTTGACCCTAGAGTTTCGAACATCGAATGTTGACTTTTTGGTCGCAACGCGTTGACTGGCGTTGACCTAGGGTTATGCGTTGACCGGCGTTGACCCTAGGGTTTCGAACATCGAATGTTGACTTTTTGGTCCTATCGCGTTGACTGGCGTTGACCTAGGGTTACGCGTTGACCGGCATTGACCCTAGGGTTTCGAACATCGAATGTTGACTTTTTGGTCGCAACACGTTGACTGGCGTTGACCTAGGGTTTCGCATTGACCAGCATTGACCTTAGGGTTTTGAATCGCTCGGTGTGGATTAGTGTGGATTTCGTTGAAATATCCAACAACCGATGAAAATAGGCAAATTCGGGCTTGAAAAGGACGTTTGTGAGCATACGGGATCAATCGAGGACTGAGACACCCGTGGATGTCTCAACCATGGCTGAGACACCTTAGGGTGTCTCGGCCAAGGCCGAGACACCCTTGGGTGTCTCGGTTCAAAAACCGAGACACCCTTGTGTCTCTCTTCTCTCTTTTGCATAATATCATTTTTCCCCTTTTGAACTTTCCTTTTTGTTATTTCCTCTTTTGTTTTCCCTCCTCTTTCCAAATTTTCAAAACTCCTTCTTTCCTCTAAGAAACCCATTAAAACTCCTCTCTTTAAATCCTCTTACACTCAAGACAATTTCGGATTTTGGTGCTCCCCCTTGGCCGAAATTCTTCTATCCTCAAAGCTAGGATTTTTCTTCTTCATCTTCGAGCTCAAGAGAGACCACTTGATTTGGGTAAGTTTCCTCTCACAAACTCTTTCATTTTTTGATAAAGATTGAAACTTTATGTTTGTAATGAGGGTATGCCACGAATTCGCATGCAAAGATTATAGCACGAAATTTGTAGGTTTAATTAGACTTCAACTATGAAATCCTATTTATTCATAGGACTTTAGTTCAAGTTCTTAATTTTCCTTTTAAATTTCGTGTATTCATATTTTAGATTGTACCTGACTTGCTGCTTTTCATTGCAGATTTTCGATGTCTCCACATCGACCTCGACCTCCTAGGAGTCGTTCCCGTTCGCAGCATAGCGAGGAAGAAGTTCCCACAGCATCCTCCCCTCCAGCGGCATCCTCTTTCGGGGGTGAGAATCTTTATTTCTGTATCCCTGATTGATCCCTTCGTGGGTCATTAAGGAAGAACCGACATCCTCCTTCGCGGGGATTGAGGTTTCAGGATATTAGTGGTTCTGTTACACCCTCGTTTGGCCCCTTCGCGGGTCATTAGGGAAGGGCCGACACCCTCCTTCGCGGGGGTTGAGGTTTCAGACTTGTTTTGCTTGGCCAATTCAAGTCTTCTGGTATATTGGGGCGATCTTGTGTCGTCTTACACCTTATAGGTCGGTGCATGTTACCACGTTATTTACGTGATGATGCATATTGTTCTTCCAGTGTAAGACACTCAAAATCGTCTCTCCAATCAATGAATGATTTTATCTTGCTTTTTTATGAGATGGATTTAATTCATGGATGATTTTCTGACTCTATCCTTGCTTTGTTGCAGTCGAGTTCCCCACGGGCAGTCTCCCTTCTCATGCTACTACTGGTTGTAGCGGGGAAGTCTTCTCTTCGGCTTCCATTAGGCAGGCTATTGGTCCACTCCCTCAGTTTGACAGAGATCGTTCCGATGAATCCTGTCGTTTGATATGGGATGGAGGGCATCGTTGCTTACGCCAGCTGATTAGGGATGCTTCTTTTACTGCGGATTCCATTTCTACTCAGGCTTTAAAGAAGCCCAGTTTTCTGTTTGGAGATCATATTGAGGAGCATTGGCTGAATCTTGATGAAGGAGCTCTCCTGTATATTCCCTCCATTCCTCGTCAGTGTTCCTTCACTCAATTGGAGGGACAGGCTGTAGAGAGACAGATGCCCTGGCATCTTACCGATGATGCTGATCGAGTTCAGTGTGGATATACATCCTAACATAAGACTCCTGGTTCTATTGGGTATCATTACATCCGTGGTCTTCGACCAGGGATTATGGGTCTTAATACTGCACCCTCAGGCGAGGTATCAGCAGCCGCTCCTACCGTGAAGAACCGTTTGGCTCATCTTGGGAGGAGATTACCTCCACCATATTTTAGATGCTATGGTTGGGCTTTCTCACAACCCAAGGCATGGGGGACACGCATGACCAGCTACGTCTTGGGGCGTTGGGAAGATAATTTGAAGAGCAGTGGATTGTACGCACCTATACGAGCCACCATGTATGGACTCCCGGTCAGCTGTCGCCATTTCTTGGCATTGTTGGAGACATACATGCCTGACAGTAACACGTTCCTGACTAGTGGCGGAGAGTTAGGGTTGGCCTTGCATGAGATGTATCAGGTTTCTGGCCTTCCGATGGGGGATTGTCCATACCAGGAGTACTTTCCCTCGAACCAGCAATTGGAGTGGTTGAAGAAGGATACTCCCGATATGTACGATACTCTTTGGGACCTCACCTCTTTGGGACATCACTTGTCATTATTATACCTCCTTGATCAAGATTTCTCCTCCAGCGAAGAGGAAAAAGCAGATCAGCTTGAAGCAGTTTGCTGTCTATTTGTTCCCGAATTTGGAGGGTGATTCCGGCGAGCCCCTTCGTGAGTTAGACGTTTCCCCCCCCCCCGCCATTAATGAGTTGATGGAGAAGGCTGAGGCTCGTTCTTACACCATTGCCAGTGCTGAGGGAGCTTTTCCTGCAGGAACCAAGTTTCATTCGTTCCTCCGCCGTGCACAGAAGTCCATTGAGCCCCGAACTCTGCTAGCAGGCTATCTTGCCCTCTGGTTGAAGAAGTGCGTCGTTCCGTACCAGCTTTCAGACGCCTTACCTCTCGAGGTGCTCTTCCCTGCAGTTCAGCTAGCTTATGGGAGGGAGCTTTCCCTGCTCCCAGCAATGGTTGCTGATATCCATTGTGGGCTCAGGTATCTGGTTAGTGGTTTTGCGCAGGTGAGTTCTGAACCGTCGGCCGAGTTTATTTGTGTGAAGGTCGAGCTTCCTTATGCGTATCTGATGGCGTGGCTTGTTCTTCACCGTCCTGACTTGATGTCAGCGCCCAGCACTGTTGATGTCCCTGTTCCTTTTGTGCAGCTGTTGGAGAGAAGCAGATAGCTCGGGAAAACATTCAGTGATGTACAACGAGAGCTTCGAGTTCGTAAGAGCTGGGAGTTCTTCAAGTGTTTTCCTCGCTTTTTGGGTCGCTATGGTGATGTGCTGACTGATGAGGAGAAACCCAGAACTAATCGGACTGCCCTCGACATTGGTTGTTTCCGCTGGTTGGTGAACATCCGCGTCGGGTATCTCGTTCTTCGGGTGAAGAATCGTTGCCACATAGAGCCTTACCTTCCCAGCCGTTTTGCTCGTCAGTTTGGCTACGACCAACTATATGTTGGGAATCCAAGTCGTGGTTTGAAGATTGAGGGAGGGCTTATTGACGGCGTTCGGGCATGGCTATGGACCATGGTGGGCTGTACGGAAGCCCAGTTTGCTCTTCCTTCATCCAGACGCAAGCCGTTGATCACTTTCCTCAGCTGCAAGTGGTTTCTTTCCGCCAACGAATCTATAGGCGTGAGGAGTCTTTCAGAGTTGCAATCTAAGCACTTGGTTCAAGTCACTATGATGGCTGCTCGTAAGGCTGAGCTTGCTAAGAAACAGAGGAAGAAGCCTGCCAAACCTAAGAAGCCTGCCAAACCTTCCCTCTCGAGCAGAGACAGGATGGATGACGATGAAGAGCTCCTTCCTATTGATGATTAGGACGAGACTTCTGAGGAGGAGTATGTGGATATGGATACCGACGAAGAAGAACTTAATGCAGGTTTGTTATGCTCCTTGGTCTTCTTTCTTAACCTCAATTGGAATCAACGAAAGGTCTTGTTCACTTATCCTAACGAAATGACTCTTATCCCCCAGGTAGGACAGTCGATGAGCATGAGTCGCTCGCTTCTCATTATGCGGGATCCGGGCCTAGCGGCAAAGCTCCTACACAGGTTGAGATGCATGGCAAAGCCGCGCATGAACGACCTGTTGGTTCTATGAAGGGTGGTATTCCGAAAAAGAAGAAGACCGCTCATAAACCATACGTTGGTCAGCGCTCCTATGGAGTGGATTTAGGAGACTTCGCCGACGGAGAGGAAGGTAATATTTTATTGTCTTTCTTGCTTTAAGATGGTTTACCTTCTGGGATTCGTAATCATGTTTTATGTTCCAGGGTACTATGACAAGGGCGAGCTTCCACCGGATCCCGTATTCCCTGGTTCTGATAATCTGGATAGCTTCCTGCAGCAAATGTGCAACGCCATTCGTGACGATTCCATGGATGTCGATACGAACCTTGATACTGAGCAGGTTAATAGCATTGAGCCCGCCATTCCATGTTCAGGTATATCTAACTCTGATGATACCCTCCTCGAGTAGCATTTAGAAGAGTTAAGGAATTCAGGATTCATTATTTTTCATGCTACGCTTTCTTTCAGATTACTTGAAGAATCCAAGCATGGATATTGGGGAAAAAGAATCTTCTGTTCCTGCTGCAGGTATTTCTGAGCTTTTTCTTCTTTCCCTATCTTCTTGTATATATATCCAACACTTAAATTATTCTGCAGATGTCGTATCAGAGAGGCCCGTTGAGGATGAGGCTTTTCATGATGTAGGTCTCGAGAAACAGGAGTATCTCTCTGCATCAAATTTTTCAGGACCCGACATTGGATTATCAGTCGACATGTTGGCTGAACAGGCTACCAGAGGAACCGTGGGACCACCCTTTGAGAGTGATTTATTCACAGGTATATATTTGATTCTCTTCATTTTGCCTGATCTTTCGTCTGACTAACAGAGGATTAATATTGCAGTACCAGTCAGTGGGACCGATTCAGTAACGACCCCCGGCACATCCAGTTTACCTCGGAGTGACAGGTTTGCAGGTATGCATACGATCTAGGACGTCGTGCTCCTTTTCATTTGTCTGATTTTTTGACTAACAGATGAGTGTAATCATAGGACCGGCCACCGGGACCGATACTCTTATGACTTCTAGCACTCCCCGTGCACCTGAGGATGATGGTCTTGCAGGTATGCAGATGATCTTATCATCTCGATCCTCCTTATTTTGTCTAAATTTTCATTTTGATTAATAAAGAAGTGTAACTATAGGACCAGCCGTTGTGCCTGATGCCACTACAGTTTTTGAGACCGATTTGCCTATGGGTGTTGATATACCCTCCATGACTACTCCTGCCGTTATCTCGGAGCCTATCAGACCTCAATCCGAGGGGACCTCCGCTGGCATTGGTATGCTCGGAATTTGCCCTTAAGTTTTCTTATCACATTTGATAATCTCTTAGCTTTCTACATTGTTACTTGTAGGATCCCGATCTTCTCTATATGAGCGTGTTCACGCCCTTTTGGCCGATACTGATCCTGACAGAGACATTTTTCGTACGGACCTCGGCTTTTTTACCGCCTTTTTTAACGGCATGATCGAGAAACTTCTTCATAGAGGATATTGTTTCGATCAGTTCAGGCGTTCCTTTTCTCGCCACATGATGATGATTAGAGAAGAAGGGTATCCAGAGTTGGACGATTCCTTCATTGCCGATTTTACTGTTCTGGAGTCGGAGATCCGAGAGTTGAAGGAATTAAAGGCTAATGGAGCTTCTTCCTTCGTGTCCTCACAGATGGAGCATAGGCTGGCACAGTGGCGCGACCTGAGATCTTCTATCGGCAGTGAGCTTCAGTCACATGAGCATTCTGTTGCGCAGCTGATGGCTACCGTGGCGAGGAAGGATTCAGATAGAGCCGAGTTACTCAGCTCTTTAGATTCCGGCCGTGAGGAAGTGGCTAGGTTAAAGGAGGCCTTAAAGCACGCCGAGGAGTCTGTTACTATTATTGCAGAAGACTTGACTGGATTAGAGCGTTCTCGTGAACAAGCACTTGTGAAGCTAGGGTCTACACAGGAGAGATTGATGAAGCTAAAGAATGAAGCCGTGAAGATCTTGAGCAGTTCCGAAGAATCCGTCCGAGCTGGGCTGCAGGCAGAACTTGAGCAGAGTTATGTAGATAGGATTTCTAATCTAGAGTCTCATGTTCTTAGTCGCCAACTACCTTCGGGCTAACGAGCTTTTTATTGTATGCTTTGACTTGATCTATTAATAGAGACTCCGCATTTGATTCCTTTATGATATTTCTTTATTGAACCCAATGATGATAAGTTTTACGGGATTTTTGGCAAACCCTCAGCCATCAACGGGTTTGATGTGCCTTTACCGATTACCGTTTGAATCGGGCTAGCATGTGAATTATTAAAACCCGTCTCACATGTAACGTTATGCTAAGAAAATCGTTTTTCTTAGACTTGATGCTATGATTTTGAATACATAGACTTAGCCATTTCTTATAGGGAAAAGGTACCCTGCACCGCGTATTAGGCGATGACTTATCCCTTCTTAGGTTTCGGGATAAAATTCCCCAGGTTTAGACTCTGGTGTCTTTTTCAATCGGCGAAAGGCTAAACCGGTAATGCGTGTTAGACATAGACTTTGGGATTTTTGGCAAACTCCCAGCCTTCAACGGGTTTGATGTGCCTTTACCGATTACCGTTTGAATCGGGCTAGCATGCGGATTGTCTAAATCCGTTCCGCATGTAACGTTGTGCTAAGAGAGTGAATTCTCTGAGACTTTGTGCTATGATTTTGAATACATAGACTTCACCCTTGTTACGGGAATAGGCTACCCGGCAACACGTGTTAGGTGTTGACTCATCCCTACTTAGGCTTCGGGATAAATTTCTCCAAGTTTAGACCTTGGTGTCTTTTTCAATTGGTGAAAGACTAAACCAGCAACGCGTGTTAGGCGTAGACTTATCTCTATTTAGGAGTTGAGATAAAATTTCCCGTGCACAAAGTGCCCGGATTGAAAGTTGAGAATTGTGTCTTTTCTAAGAACAAAGACGGACTGGAAAATGGGAGAGAAAGAATTTTATATTCTATCTCCCAGTACTGAAGAGGAAGAATTTTATATTCTATCTACAGTAGGAAAGGAAACTCAAGGTGGGATCTCCACCCCCAGAATCCGAAAAGATGAAACTAGGAGTGGGATCTCCACTCCGAGAATCGGGAAGGTTCAAACGACCCTAACTTTTATAGGATTGGTCATTTAAATCAAAAGAATCCCTCATTCATTGAGGAGAAAGCCCAATTTCGACCCTAACTTTTATAGGTTTGGTGAAAAAGGAACAAAGACAGATTTTCGTTTATCGAAAAGGAATGACTCGGTCTTAGCCCTAACTATTTGTAGATTTGACTAAGTGAGATCGGGAACAATCCTAACTTTTATAGGTTTGACTGTTCGAATTGAAAGTGGACCTCTCGTTCATGGAAGGAATCGAGAGAGGAATTTGGCTTTGGCCCTAACTTTATAGGTTTGACCTGAAAGCAAGGAAAGTGGAATACAGGTAGCAAAGAAAGTGCCAACTCGTATTATTACTCAAAGGAAGACTTTAATGCTAGGTGATTAGGACCTAACATGTTGAGTCTGAGGAATGCCAATGACTGGCGGATAGAAATGTTGGTGGATCCACCGTCAATTGATCTGATTAGCGGATGGTTTGGTGAGGAAAGATTAACCTGTCAACGGATTGAATCTCGTCTCACAAAAATAACTCATGAGAGTTAGAGAATCTGACAATAACAAGAAGAAACATTCCGACATTCAGAGTTCGAACGTGGATTTCTTATTCATTACTTCTACAGTGATTGGGTTATCCCTAAGAATATCACGTGTGGTATTCTTCCGGGAACTTCCCGATACACCAGTTACCCTGAAGATACTAAGGATAGTATTTTTTCAGGAATTTGCCGTTTATCGGCATCATAAGCCGGTCATCGTCCTTGGTGACTAGGCGATATGCGCCACTCGAGTAGACTGTCTCTACTACGAATGGTCCCTCCCATTTGGGTTCAAATTTACCTTTCTTCTTGGAGTTAAGGATCATAGGCCGCCTTTCAGCTAGAACCAAGTCCCCTTCTTTGAAGCTCCGTTGTCAAACCTTTTTGTCGAAAGCTCGAGAGATCCTGGCTTGGTAAAACTCGATATGCTGTTGAGCTTCTAAACGCTTCCCATCTAGCCTTTCAAGTTCTTCAAGGCGCTTCTGATGTTGCTCTTCGGTCGTCATTTGAGTCGCGAGGGCAATTCGAAGCGACGGGATTTGAATCTCCAGTGGAAGAACGGCTTCACATCCGTATACCAGTGAATACGGGGTTGCTCCCGTCGGTGTGCGCACCATGGTCCGATAGGCCCATAGAGTCGCGCCAAGCTTGTCATCCCAGTCTCGTTTATTAGTTTTCACGAATTTTGACAAAATCTTTATGATAGTCTTATTGAAGGCTTCGGCCAATCCATTTGCTGTGGGATTGTAAGCTGTTGACGAGATGTCCTGAATTTTGAACTTTTCACAAAACCTGATGAAGGCGTTGCTGACAAATTAAGGACCGTTGTTATGTATGATTCGTCTCGGGACACCATGCCGGTAGATGATATGGTGCTTGATGAATGCAATGACGTTGCTCGTTTTGACTTCTCTGAGAGGAACCGCTTCAGCCCACTTGGAGAAGTAGTCGGTAATCGCCAGGCTGAACCGATCACCTTTGACTGACAGGGGATTTATAGGACCGACGATATCCATTCCCCAGGTCTCAAATGGCCATGACGTAACTGAAGGATGTAAATGCTCCGGAGGTTGGTGCATATAATTAGCATGTGTTTGACATACATGACACTTTCGGGCATACGCGATTGCATCACTCATCATTAAAGGCCAAAAATATCACATTCTTCTGATGCGGTCATAAAGCTTGGGGCCAGGTTAGTGCGCGCCACACTCTCCTTCATGTGCCTCTCTAAGGACTTCTTCGGCTTCTTTAGTTGATAAGCAACGTGCTAGCAACCCATCGTACCCCCTGCGGTATAGCGTTCGATTCTCCGTATTATAGTAGAATCTTGGCACTCTTCATCGGATTGACTCTCTTTCCTTCGTGTCTTCTGGTAGGATTCCATGCAAGACGTAATCAATGATGGGGAAACGCCAATCTCGGGGTTCAAACTCAACTTGAGTTGAGTGTGTTTCCTTAATATCTTCTTCCTCGTCCTCTTCATCATAGATCGGCACTAGGAGTTGGTGAGTCCTCACTGTAACAAACTGTTCTGTTTCAGGAGGTTGCGCCAGGGATACGGCCAATGCTGCTAATGCATCTGCGTAGGTATTTTGTAACCGTGGAATATGTTCGATAAAGAATCCTTCGAATGATTCTGCTATCTCTACTGCCATCTTATGATATGGTATTAAATCCGGGCTTCGGACCTCGTACTCTCCCTGAACTTGTTTAACTATCAGTTGAGAATCACCGAAGGCTTCGAGATATTCAACCCCCAGTTCTTTAGCGAAACTGAGTCCTATGAGTAATGCATTATATTCGGCTACGTTATTTGAGCACAGTTCGGTCAACGAATAAGCTCGAGGCATAACGTGTTTTCCTGGGGAAACTAAGACAACTCCAACTCCGGAAGAAATCTTAGGACTTCCAGGAGCACTCGCTACATTAGTTGCTCGTGAAGCACCGTCGAAGTACAAACGCCATACTTGCTGGTGTGAAGTTGCATTGACTTCGTGGGTCTCATCAGGTAGGTCGTCATATATCTCGGCGGTATCCGTAGTTGGATTAGCTACCAGGAGATCACAGATGGCTTGTCCTTTTACCGACTTCTATTGTTTAAAATGTAAGTCGTATTGGGACATGAGTAAGGCCCACTTTGCTAATCGCCAATTCATGAACGCTGGCTGAGTCATGAACACTCGGACTGGGTTAACCTTAGAGATAACATAAATGGTCTGTCCAACCAGATAATGCTGCATCTTCTGAATAGCGAACACCAAGGCGAGGCATTCTCTCTCAATCATAGGATATCGAGATTCAGCGCCTACCATGGTCCGGCTTAAATAATATACCGCCTATTTGTGACCGTTATCATCATCTTGTGCAAGTAATGCACTTAATGAGTGGCTCGTCGCCTTGACATAAATCAAGAACGGTTTGCCTGATTTCGGTGCGACGAGCACGGGAGGTTTTGAAAGATATTCTTTAATACTCTCGATTGCCTTTTGACAAGCGTCGCCCCACACGAATGATACGCCCTTCTTTGTGAGCTTGGAGAATGGTTGGCATTTTCCTGAGAGGTTCGAGATGAACCGACGGATATACGCTAACCGCCCTTGCAATCCTCTGAGCTCCTTGAGGTTTCTCGGAGGCTGCAATTCATTAATTGCCTTTACCTTATCAGGGTCGATGTGAATACCTTTGGTAGTGATGACAAATCCCATGAATTTACCACTGGACATTCCGAGAAAAGACTTGGT